GGGAAATTGCAAGCCTCAAAAGCTTCGTAACAGTAACACTGAGAATTGCCGCCAAGGCAACTGCCACCATGCCAGTGAGAGACTTCAAATGATGCCCGCTTCACGCTGCCGACGCAGTCAAAGACGGCGCTGACCTCACGGGCAAGCAATAAGCCAAAATGGGGTACCACGCTGAATCGTGAACATTGGTCACGTGAACTGAGGACAACAGACTCTTGATCTCTATCTCTCTCTCTCACACCTTTGAAGCACCAATGCCAAACAAGTATGGAAGCTAACATCAACTGGGCTGCTGACTGACACATGCACATACCGCAGTCCGGCTTTTGAACAATGTCACGAGCAACTTGCCTTTTTACAGAGCTCATCAAGATGGGGTACTCATGATCTGCCGCATCAGTGTAGGTCACATTTACACTGAGATTCCCGCAAACGATGTTCGTATTCCCGCAAACACTCCAACACTTGTTGCTCACCAAACCATCGCAAAAGCTAATAACCAAAAGGTCTGGACATGATACGTAAGGTCCAAAGCTTCTCTTCACCCTCTCTCTTCCTCTAGGTCCTGAACGAAGGATGTCCCATCCATCGTTGATGTTCACCAAACAGTCGTAATGGCACCGAAGGCTCCTGAGCATAGGTGTCCTTTTAGGGTAAATAGATGGCCCTGGTAGATGATTTAACCACCAGGTAAGCCAGGAATCGCCATCTATGGTTCTACCAAAACAACCAAAAAGGACACCTATGCTCCTGAGTTGCTTTATTTTGGCACCAAAAGGTCTGGGTTCATAACATCCACCCGGCCAGCCGCGAGCTGCTCAAGAAGCACGCGTCACGTGCCTTGAGGCTCGTAGAACTTCTGAGGATCAAAGAACTTCTCGCGGATCCATCCTTGGCTAGGCAAAGTGCACAGGCAACAGTGGGGAAGGATAAGACCTTATGGATATCGGGAGAAACGGAGAAACCACCACCAAGCCAAACTGTGAATTCCGTCTACAGTTGTTGCCGCTGCAAAGAGCTTCCTGCTTGACTGATTTCCATTTTGAGCTGTACCCGTACTCCCTCTTTCCCCCAGGCAAAGCATTTTCCTGCTTGCCAAAATCGCTTCTTGGCCAGCTCGGCTCCACCTTGGACTCTCAAAAGAACGCAGAAGAATAGATATGACGCTTGGGAATCTCAGAGATCCATGCGATTCTAGTTGCGTGATCGAGAGACTTCCCAATTCTCTGAAGAATCCCCCTCCTAGCATTCCCTGCTCCGCTCCGCTGTCGCAGCTCAGTGTCTTGGCCCTGTTGGTGATATCTCCCATGTGTGGTAAGGTTTATCACATTGAGTTCTGGGGCCGCAACAGCCTGCAAAGAGCCCCATTTGGGCTCCCCAAAGCGCGAACATCTGCAGGAGGACATCAAACAGAAGATTCAACAACCAAATGCTCTACAAACTGCACAATAGCAAAACCTCTATGGCAGTATGCATAGCAAGAAAAACATTCCCCACATTCACATATGCTTGTTGGGAAGCTTTGATTTGCATACGCAGGTGGTGCACCCAAAGTTGCAAAGCATCGATGGTCTCAACATGACATGACACGGAAAGCAGCAAACTATCACAAACTGGTGCGGAAGTGGCAAGAGGTAGGGGGCAGTCCTTCAACAAGAATCTGACCCTTGTAGTTCGGTGTTGCAAGCGTAAGGTAAAGGTCCGTGCAGCATCCGGCCCCACTCTTGGAAACTCTTACGCTCAGCGTTCTGTATTGTGTGCCACGTGACGTGCAAGCAGAACTAATGCTATCCGCAAAGCGGAGCTGCAAAACTCCACAGAGCACGAAAACAAGGCTGCATATATATATATATATATATGTTATATTATAGAGAAATATATGTCTGTGCAACACTGTGCGACTTCACACAACTTTGTACGACGGTGTGCAGAAACGCCAAGACACGCGCACACACACGCACACACTCAAGCCATGCCCCCAAACTCGCCATGGTCATGTCCATTCATGTGCATCTGCATATACATGTGCACATCGTTTCTATGTATATACATAAAGAAGTGTGTATATATATATATATAACAGGTATTATGCATTAACACATGCACATACGTGTATATTGATCACAATCCAAAAATAGCGTCACACCCAAGAAACACCGATCAATGCATGCACAACTGTTTGGGGGATACTTACAACATGGGTGTCTCGCCGCCTGTCTTCTCTTTGTCTCTCCCTGTATCTCATATATATATATATATGTGCTTTCATACAAAATATAACTATGTCATCGATATGTTTTATTTATGGTGTACAACGATTGCTCCCCCTAATGAAGCTGAGGCGGGATAACTGACGAAACCAAACTGTGACAAGTTGCCCTGCCCCATTTTTTGTTTGTTAAGGGAACCCTTGCTATCCTTGTGGGCAGCCTCCCCGTTTGAGAATCATCCACTTCCCAACGCCGGAGTTGGACAACCTGGTGTACCATTCATGGTTTTCACGGTAAAACCACAGGAACCCCTTGCCATTTTAGGGGCTTCCAAATGACTTGAATCCGCTCCCTTGGGACCGATGTGCAGCATGCTCTGTTTTTCACGTCAAGACACGCAGCGCTGCGATGGAGTCTCGCACGTCTTGCAGCGCCCGGTGGTTGTAGGCGCTGCTTCTGCGGGCCTCGAATTTTTCGATGGCGGTGTGTCAAAACAGATGCGAGGTGCTGTCCAGGCAATCCCAGCTGAAAACACGCATCTGACAAACCCTCACATGTCGCTTTGACGGAAAGCAGTTTTGGGGTTGACCATTTCTAGCCGGCAACCCACACAAGAAAAACGGAAAGGGTGCTATTGAACAAGTAGGATATGTCTGTGTTTGTTTAAGACCACTAAAGTTGTGAGGCTCCAAAAACAACCCGAGCAGAAACATCTTTTGTGGGAGATCCCCGCAAACTCATGTATGGGCGTCTTGCTTGAACATATCTTAAGGGGTTGGTCAGGGAAACCAAAGTTCGATCGGGCAATTGTTGTTCCTCAGGTTGGACCAAACACGACGACGTGTCGAGGGAGGACCCTTCTGAATGCGTAGCTTTCCTCGAATGGCAGTGCGCAAACGGGGTGAACTCCTGCACACCGCATCCCCAGGATAATGTTTGTCCCAGAACAGCTTTGACATGGCTAGGAGTCACTGGCTTGTGACACTTACAAATCAAACACTGTTTGGCCCCATATTACATACAGTGGATGCACCAATTCCTACATATGTTGGTGAAGGTTTAGCCCAGTTTTCATGCAGTTTTATCCATCTCAACCGGAGGATTTTGTCCATCCGCCGTATTGATCCCACTTGATTTGATTGAACCTCTAAAATGCTTAAAAAAAACATCGGCCCTTGGTAGGGCGATGCGGTTGAACCCAACCCCCCCCCTCTCAATCCGAGTGGCCCAGTACTGCGAATGCTCGGGGATCCACAGGTTGGCAGCAGTGAAGAACCCAGCGACCTGGCGTGCTGCGAATCACAGCCAAACCCCGAGCCGACTTTTGGTTCGTTCACAAGCTACGGCTTCTATACACCTGTCTATAACCCCGGCGAAAAAAAGAGAGGTAGAACCACCTATCATGCCCAATAAGGTCTTCGGGCGCTCAAAGAAGATCACAGTGCTCATGTTTGCTCGTTGTCGGTCTTGCTTAGTAGCAAAGCCATTGCTAATTGCTAGGGTAACAAAAAACAACTTACAATCAGGAAACCGGGCAGATGTGCAATTTCTGTGACGGACGTCATCGGTGCTGTTATCATTAGTTCAGCTTGGCTGTCTGGCATTCTTTGTTGTTGCTTCTACTTTCTACAGCTTCCGTCCACATGGGTCCGTCACAAAACAGCACAACAATCACATGATCGCTTCCCACCATACCATTTGAGGTTTCATTCTTTATCGTTTGGTTAAAACAACTGACAAACTAGAGGGTTCTACACAGGGTCCGCCGAATACTGAACGGAAAGCAACCGGGTTCATACAGGATGAGAGCATTCCCCTCAGAATATACTAATGCAAGGGCCTTTCGGACAACTCCCCCATACTCACATCAGAACCAAGCCACCAATAAACAGTGGAGTTGTTGCTTGCAAGTCCTTGGCTTCCGAATGTCTGACACGCGCTCATCTAACTTTTGAGTCTGGCAAAGAGGCTCCGGGCCCCTTCCGGAGAGTTCGGCGCAATTGCCCCCGGCCCAAGCAGGCCGGAGCTGCATCCAGGATTTGATGATGCACGTGACGGTAGAGCCTGGCACACCCCGATGCAAGTGCGCGGCATCGGACATGCTATGTCACCAAGAGTCTAGGGGTTGATTCCCCATGTTTTTTGAATCATCTTTCTTTTTGAAAGGATTTCTAGAAAGAAGGATCCCTGAAAAGAATGGGGAATGTACCAGAAGAAACAGAATGATCACCAGCGACCCCCAGCAATTACACGTGCAAATCGCAAGCAAACCACAAGAACGACGTTGCCAGCAGCGGCGGCGGCGGTGCCACCACCAGCACCACCACCACCGCCGGTTGTTGCAGCCCCCGAAGTTCGAAACCACCCCGAAGCGTCCATGCCCCTAATTTAATCTGAATGCTGAAGCCAGCCCAACCCTCTTCAAAAGGGGTTATGGTCCTTAGGTGGTGATGGCCATTTTGAGGGCGCCTGCATTGGTGCCTGTGATGGACCTTGGCTTTGGGGCCATTTTGGGACCAAGGGCAATACGTTTGCCCCTTGCGAACACAAAACGTGGCTGAAACCTCATGCCTGCGGCAGGCTGGGAACCAACACGGGGTGCTGAGAAGAAACGAACAAGTATCCCTTGTCCGTTGTTTTCAGAGCTCGTGGACGGTCGTAATGGGAAATCAAATACCCGCAAGAGTCAGTCCAATGAATTTTGAGAAACACCCAGATGGACCCCCAGTGGCCACAGGAGAAAGAGGTGCATTCTTTTCGGGTAACCAAAAGAGGACACCTCTTCATTTTCCGGCAAAAAAAAATGGACACTCCAAAAAAAGGGGGAGAACAAAAAACAAACAAAATGGACACTCCAAAAAAGGGGGAGAGAAAAAAAAAAAACGAACGAACAGACCAAATGGCGCCACTGGGTGTCTGGGACCTGGTCCCAACACCCGGCCTGGGCATTTGCAGCTTCAGGACCTCGCGGTCGCACTGCACGGAGTATCCGGCCTGGGGCCGGCACTGACACCGTGGGATTGGGTCGAGATAGGGGAACCAACCAAAATGGGCCGCGGGTCAAAATTGGGTACCCAAAATTCACCCTTGGGAAATGGAAATATGAACTAACAGGGTCCCCTGGTTGGTCAGTTTTGACCCACCGCCACATGGTTGGGTTGGTTTCCTTTTGGTGTCCAAACCTTCCAAAAGGGTACCTTCCCTTAAAAAGACACAGCCACAACCTGTGCAAATGCAGCCCTGACAAGGTGTTTGCACCGGACTGCAGGGTGTCAAACACTCGAACTGGCCCTACCTCTTCAAATTTGCTTCCATGTCCGCCTTCTGGCCTGACTTTTGACACGTTCGATGGCAGCTCCCCTCCCACTTGCTAGATGAGCATTCAATAATTGATGTGGTACATATACTTTCCGCCCAGGGCCCTGGAATGTACTAACCAAGCTCCATACTAATCAGGCTTGTGCTGCCTCATTTGGGCATCTGCCATCGTTCTACTTGGTTAAATCTGGAAATGGTTCATCTGCAGATGATGGAATCCTGGACGTGCTAATACTTGCAGAAACAGCAGTTGAACAGCATATAGCATGATGATCCCCCGAAGGGGGATCACTGTGTACTACCTCACAGTCAATATGTTTCGAGGGGTGCAAGGAAGCATCATGCATCAATCAAATTTCGACAAGAATTGCATCCGTGGCTGTGACATACTGGAGGATATGAACTTAACACACACCAAACTGCATCAGGCGAACGCTGATGCCATGCGGCTTGCTTGGTCCTGTGAAACATGAGATCGAAGCCATGACGATCATTGGCAGAAAGAAGCTGAGCAACTGGCACATTTCACTCAATCCGCTTTCAGGGAGTGTAGTGAGGTCTTTGACTCGCCCAAATTCCATCAATGACCCACGACTGACAAGCAAGAGACAATCCGCCATATCATTTCTCTTGGGTCAGTCGTCATACCATTGGCCTCGCAGTAGGCATCTTCTGCCACTAGCATCTAACAAATAGGACCCTCAACCGCAGACTAATCTTCCAAAGGCCTCTCGGATTTCGTGGTGGTACACAGTACGTCACGCCTCATGTGCACCGAGCTCGGAACCAAAGGACACTCCCCTGCAGGGCAGTGCCTAAGTCAAGGCTACGCAGTTCGCATTTCCTGTGGAAGAAATCCCGGACTCTTTCAAGAACACCAAACAATCCTTTTCCAAAAGTTCTATTGTGGCCCAAGGGCCGTTGCCGCATATTTGCGGAGAGGGTGAACGCATTGGCACACACTACATTTCAAATTGCCTGATCGTTTGGGTTCAACCGCCAGCTTCTCATGAGCCCCCGGCTCATAATCAATCGTGTTTGAAGGAACAAGGCTGGGCCAACGCTAAATGAGTTCCCTCGAACAACTACAGATCTTTCGACCACAGGCTGGGCTTGTCAGGGTGTGAAGAGTCAAGCCAATGGCAAGACGCTGACAAAGAATTCCAACTTTGGAAGAAAAGAATCGGCACTTGACGCTTGTTTGTGAGCAGAGCGTGGAGCGGGCGACTATTCGTCCCTCCCGAAATCATCAACCATTGCCTTCCAAACAAACATAGATTACTAGAGGGCATATTGGTCCGTGGGTCTGTGCGTTTTTGGTGGTACTCCCTTTTGTGGCTACTCAAAGGAAACCAAGAAGGACACTCACCTCTTTTTTTTTGGGGGGGGGGGTTCGCCCTACCCCATACCCCAGGCTGGGGTCCCGAGCTTCTCTACGAGCGACATGATCTCAGCCTCGACCACATCCAGAGTGAACCTGCCGAAAGGCCTTCGGGGTATGTCTCAAAGGGAGCCCTTGCTTGATGGTTTAAGAACCCCATGAATTGTTGGGGATATGTTGAGACAAAGCTGGCACTGGCAAATGATTAGCAGCACATGCTTAAGTTTCAACCAAACTGATCTGAACATGGCGCCAGGCGTGCATTTCTCCTTCAACCCTGCCGTCAATCCTTGACCCAACAGACTAAACCCATGCCATGTTTTCAACCACTATCAGCCAAGCACGGAGCATAATGATACATCAGGTTGTGTTGGCGCTACCGCGTCTCACACTTTTGACAAAAGAAAAGCGGCATGGGTTGGCAAATTCCTGTTCTGAGATGAAAGTATACACACAACTCCCTTTGTGTGCGCAAGTAAAGATGATCAAAATGGGGGATCTGTGCCATCTACTTTCCCCCAACTGCAAGTCATCCATGAGTCTTCACTTCAGCGCCGCTCGCGAACACCCCCGGTCCCGGCTCCTTTCACTCCTTGCATGTCTCTTTAATTCCACCCCAAGGAAAGCTCAATCAACATTGGCCCAAATCCACCCACAAGAACGTCTACGAATCCCAGTTGCCTCACGAATTGAGAGATGGTACGGGGGAGGTGAGCTCCACACAGCGGCCCCAACTTCATCAGAAACCCGGCATAAACAGTTGAAACAAACAACTCTTGAGGAATCTGAAACAACACATGGCAGGGATGGAAAACACTGGAAAACGTGTCATCTAAATGCAGTCTTTCTATAGAAACAATTATGCTGCCAAAATTGCAACAGCTCATGTTAACCGCCGTATGTCGTGTGGGTGAAATTAATGAGTCATGAAAACAGGATGGGGTTCCCGTGAAAGGAACGCGTATCATCGGTAAGCTCGCAAAAACGTTGTGTGAGGCTCATGTTGCGAGTCGCGGCAAGGCGTTGCCTGGATGTCAGCATGGCCGAGAAAAGCCCGTTGCCGCCTTGTCAGCCAGTGTCAAATCAATCATCACCATCACTCCCAAAATGCCCTCACCCTCGCCGATCACGCTCTGGTAATCGTTTGAAGGAAAAAGGTGCTTTGGGGGGATGTGGTTGCAAGACCTGTGATGGATCTTTGCCGGTGCACCTAGACAAAGTACAAAACATATATATATATATATAGAGATATAGATAGATAGACATACGACATTTGTTTGGGACATCGGGGACCCCCTGTGAATCCACCAGCAGGGGGTTCTGTATCAATCTGAGATTCCCATGCGACTCATTGGAGCCACCTGCTTACAAGAAGCAAAGCTGCAACATTGCAGGCACAATGTTTTGCAGTCTAGGTTCAAACAAAAGGCCAACACTGGCGGACAAGTTCTTTGCTGACTGCTCCTTGCCATGGGATTCCTAACTGGTTTCCATCCTCGAACCTCAAAGAATGCTCTGGAAATCTGAACACCCCTAGCAATTCATCTTTGAGGTGCCCGTGTATTGCGCATATATATATATATATCCCCACGCAAGGATTAAGCAGCGGGCCCTGCAAGGTCATGCAATCCAAGCAGTGATTCGCCGGCCGCGGCGCTTTGAAACATGGGTTCACGTGGGCACCACCTTTAATGCCTGCGTGCGTACAATGTATATTTCAACGAATTCTAAACCAGGACCACCAGTACTAAGGTAAAATCTGTGGAGTAACTGCAGGGAATCGCGAGACCGCCCACATGTTGCTGTTGCCTAAGATTTGACTAACGACCTGCAATCTGTGACTCGCAGCAAGTCGTTTTTAAACGCGTCTTGGCTGCGCGAACCCTACAAAGCAAAGCTGAATTTGCACCACTTGGCACGGCAAATCCTCCAAATTCAACTCATGACTGCGACGTGTTTGCTGTTTGGTTGAAAAAACGACAAAAGTCCCAGTTTGTGCATATCGACCACGCTTTTCGCAGAGTTGCTCGGGTCCACTGCGCCGTGCAAGCATGCTTGCGTAACTTTGTCTGCATTGCGACGTTGCGGGTCGCCCCTTGCGGCAAGAACGGCATTATCGCGATACATGCAAACATGGACTAAAACCTGCGGTCCCCTGGTGGTTCAATTTTGACTCACACCCAGTTTAATTTTGGCACGGGAACCTTTCAACTCACTTTCTAAGACGACCGGGCTTCGCGCCCTGCTGCTGCGGTGGGAAGGCCCCCCCCGGCTCAGCGTCCCGGAAGTTTTCCTGAAAGCCCGCGGTCTCCCCTGGAGGCTTCCCTTTTGAGGTTGATTTCAAGGAAACCACATGGAAACCACGTGTTTCCCTACTTTGACATCCCTACTGGAAGGGAAACCAAATGGAAACCAAATGCTTCCCTACGATGACATACCCAAATGCGTGTTTCTCCAGATGGTGCACGCGACTAAGTCGTTTCCGTACGTGGTCTCCTTACCAACCAACAAAATCGGGGTCCGCCACTTCGAGAAACCTCACAATGCCATCAAACAAAGCCAGGTGTAACATCCCGGGATATCAACACAATATTCATCCGCTGTCAGAAGTTTCTTTGGGAAAGGCCAATACAAGATTGTAAACAGTTGCAACTGGCAGACTAGGCCCTCTAGGAAAATATTGGGAGCTCAAAGCAGAACTAGTGTGTTCGGGCGATGGTACAGGCCCTTTTGATCTTTACAAGCGAAGGAGACATCGTCATGGGTCTTCTGATAGCGACCCTTGCAGGTGGGTGGCGTCTTAGCTTCTCTTTGCCACATGCAACAACGGGTTCCTAATCCATGGACAAGCCAACTTGGACAGAAAGCAACACACACACACATCAATCAATAGACTATCGTCCTTACACATTTGGCCATGATGACATTGTTTCTCCACTTGACCAGTGCTTTTGGGCAACTCTGACCAACCTCTGTGTTGGTTCTTTGACGCATGTCCATGAGATTCCGGGGAGAATTTGAAAAGCCGAGCGCCTGGTGCCTGGTGTCTGCCTCACCAGAAGTTGTGTTGGCACTCTCAGTGTCTTCCGCTTCAATCGAATCGACTCAATTTCGACCAAAACGCCTCTTTTCTGTGCCTACTACCTTCGCTACTTATGAGAGATGGGGAACTGCTGGCGCGTTGCCGTAACTTTGGCTTCAACCAACACCTCCAACTACTGCTTTCTGGACAGTACTTGGGATTCTGGACATGGGAAAAGGCAGGGGGGGCAGTGCTGGAATGCGCGGTTGATAGGTGCAACTGGTAAACAGTAGTACGAAAGTGCTGCCTCTTACCCGTTCATAGTGCTGTGAGTTTCCTTAATTGAAGCAACACTTCCAATGTACAAAAAGCAACATGAACAACACAAAACACACCAGTGCTGGCGCATGAGTTTGTCTCCAATGGGGAAGCCCAGGGTCTGGCTGGGTTCATCTGGTTTCCCTGTTTAACGCAACCGTAAAGCCGGACAAATGGCACCTTGCAGGGGCGCGCCCACAATGTCACAAGGAAGCAAATGGCCTGGTGCCACTGCGGCAGTTTCTCCAAGTCCGGCTTGGTAAAGCCACCCAACACCTGGGAAAGCACGCGGGTCCCTATTCTTCAAACATCCGCCAAGGAACCTCTCTTGGAAAGGCCCCATGGTCGAAACCTCAAGCACCTTCAGAAGAGACCCAGGCATGTCAATGCTCACACCTGTCGATGTTTCATTATTTTCAGAAAGTTTGCCTGGGACTTGGGAGTGACTCTGAGAATGAGCTGGTGGTGGAGCCTGATGGGCTGACTTGCTGCCCCGCAAATTGACAGATGGAACCTAAGAAGGCGGTCCCCTCCAAACCAAGACAAGGTTAAGTTTCACGCGAATCCATATGGATTTCTGTTAGTTTACGCTTCGCCCACCAGCAGGGAACACAAAACTGGTTGCTTGTCGGTGGAGAATTGAGCTACGGGAGCAAGCAAAAGCAACTTTGGTAACGAGATGCTTGTGTCACACCAAAATGCTCAAAAAGTGGAAGTCACTGACGTTTGTCCCTTCTCCCAAACCGAGCTTTAGCTTCTTTGTTTTCTTTGTTTCAATTTATTAAGTTTCATTGTTCGTCCTTCCGCTGACCCTTCCGCGAAACTTCCGCCAACCTTCCGCAACTGCTGGCCTTGCAAGAATTACGTCCGCCCGCTCTCTTGGAAAAATGGCCGGGTAAAAAGCAATCGCGGACAAACTTCAAATGCATGAATACGGAGGACAAATCGGGAGATACAAGCCATATTCCACATGGCACCGCCAAACCCAGGGGAGCAACACAATTGACAATGCCTATCACGATTGCTCCCGAAAAACCAGTCGCTGAAACACTGCAAGTGGTCCGACTGTACAATAGGGCCACTTAAAATCAAAGCACAAGACTTGAGCAAATTCTTCAGCGCACTTATCAACCCTTGGTTAAAAAAAAAAAAAAAACATCTATTGTTGGTTGAGTTTGCTTGCAGTTCCCGTTCAGAATGAAGCAACATACAGCGCCAAAACCCCGAAAACAGGGCTCCCAGTTTTTCCCTGTTAAAAATCACCCCATCAACTCACTCCAAAGCGGCCCAAACGGCGAGGTTTTAGCCAGGCTTCCAGAAACATAGGGCGCAAACTAGTCGCCAGAAAGAGGTGTGAGAAGCTTCCAGCTCTGTCGCGAAAAATCGAAATCGCCCAGGCGCCCAATGACCTTGCGCCAAGGGCTTCAGGTCCTTGTCGGTGATGATAATGGCAACCTCGGGTGGCCAAACAGTTTTCCGGCGCTCCTTTCCAGAGCCCAAGGAGGCAGCGGTTGGGTGTCAAACCTGAAGAACTAACAGGGATCCTTACATTATAATTACACCGGAACATTGCCTTGTAAATAGTGGTGTCCCCTTATTTTGGTGGAAAAAGCCATGTTTCAAATGGGCAAAATGTATCTTTGAACCAAAAAAAGCGAGCAAAACAACTCTTGCAGAGCCCTGAGGAATCTGTAGTGCAGGCTTACGGGAAACGCTCAAAACGGGAGGCACAAAAACAACTTGTTGCTCGGCTAAGCGAACGTCCCCCATGGTTTCCCGCGCTCCTTCTTTCCAGAAAACTACACAAACCAACGGACAGGGGTACAAACCAACGATGATTCGGCCCCTAGAATACGGGCTTGTGTGCTCAACTGTATCATCCGTTTGTGGTTTTCTGAAGACTAAACAATACCAGAACCGATACGTTGCTGTCCGAAAGTCAGACGTTGGGGGGTGTTGGTCATCATGTTTCTTTCACACGAGCGAAACTTACAGCTCGAATTCGTAGCGCTCAGCCCGGGATTATGCGGTGAACTCCCGTGGAGAAAGCCCGAAGCTCTCTGCCGTCAACTGGGTCTCATCATTTTGGCTCTCCTTGGAAGCTCAGATGCCCAGTGGATTTCCATGGCAAAAAAAAGGCCACCCTTTGCTTGTTGGCTGAGTTTAAAGGGGAACCCTTACCCAACCAAAAGGCAAAAGAGGCACCACTGGGCAACAGAGGAAGTGCGACTGCAGCGAGAAGGTTTCGCTTGGTCCGCGTAAGCGGGAACCATCCATATTCGCACTGATGATATTGATCCGTTGTGAAAGAAGCCTCTTGCCACTAGTGTATCCGCAAGCAAGCCAAAATGTGCATACCACTTGTTGAGAAAACACACGTGGTTTTGAAGTACGGGCCAAACCGAGCTGCAAGATGTTGGCCTCCCTAGGGCGAAACCAATCTCAAAGCACCGCACAAGCCTAAGCGAGAAATCCTTAAGTTGGAGACCAAGATGTCGTCTACAAGTGTTGAACCACCCCACAAGGAAACTCAGTTGAAGTTGGCAACCCAAAGGTGAGTCCACCCTTGAGAAATATACGGACAGTTGAAATGGTTGAAACCAGTCTAACGGGGAATCATAGGGACCTATTGATGCGCAAACATCCAAAAATCAACCCCCCAGCTGAAATGCAGTAACAAATTTCTTGGGGGGGGGGGGAAATATACTCAAGAACAAACATCGTTCCAACCCCCAATTGAAATGCGGTAACATCCCGGAAAAAAAAAAGAAGAAATATCGAAAGGCCACCAACAGGTGATCGGTGATGGTTGAGACCCCTGGGAAATGGGACAGACATGGTTCAAGCCAGGCTGAAACGCGGCCTCCAGGATCTGGGGCTCCTGGTCGAACTCGTAGAAGCCACAGGAGGTCTCCAGGTCGATGAAGATGAGGTTCGTGCTCCGCGCCTATCCGCTTCCCGAATGTTTTGGGGCCCCGGTGTTTGTTTTTGGCGACCCTTTTTCGCAGGCTTGAAACGAAACGCGACATTTCTGGCGCGGGCATGTTGAAGTTGAGCATTTTGAGGTGTAAACTGTATCCCAGTGGAAGCCCACCGCTCTTTGTTGGCTCAAGGCTTGGAAGGTCGGGTCAAATGCAAGAGAGGATTGAAAGGGCACCTGGACCTCTGGAAGACTTGGGCAAGAAGTACATGCAAAAACAAAACGCCTGCCCCAAAGCAAGGAACGGCCAACAAAATTGAAAGAGCGTCGGCGCGCCGAACTTACTTTCACTGCGCAATAGTTGAGAGCAAGGCCATGCTGCAAGGCTGATTCCTTGATGAGCCGCATGGCAATCACCACCATGCAAATAAGCGGGCGTTCCATGCTGGATTTCACGAGAATGCCACACAAAGTGATGCTGTTGAAATACAATACAAGCAACTCGCAAAACATTAGTTGAAGTGATAGCGTGCTTCAAAAGGAAGCCTTTGTCGTCAAACCATCCTTCTTGTCCTTCCATCTTCAAGGATCAGAGTGTCCAGCTCAAAGAAAACCTCATATTTCGTGTTCTGGCCAAGGAAGACTCTAAACCTGTAATGCAGGTTGACCGAGTTCCCAATGCCAGCAACCTCAAAAGGTCCGTAGGTGCCCACTTAGACATTGGTTCCGCCTTCCGCAGGCCATTCGCCCGCCTGGTTGCCGTAGCTGTCACCTGAGCCGAAGCAATCCAGTGATGGCAATTCTAGCACTCTGATCGCCAGGTGCACGAAATCAATCAGAAGCAAGCAACTGGGTATCTTTCGAACAAAAAAATGGGAGTGGAGTTGATCAATATTTCCGGCCCAAATGCCCATGACTAACTTTTCTTAGTTGGGATTTTATCTTGTTGGTGGCCATCCAATGTAAAGGACCCCTTGATCAACCTCCGTTTTTCTTAGTTGAACATGAGTCAGTATACACCTTCGACATCGATGGATTACAAGGTCCGAGACTCGTCTACATTCGTGCATGGTCATCCAGCATGTGGGGGCAATATACCCGCACTCCCGCATGGTCATGTTTGGGGGATTGCTTGCTTCCATTTGCCTAAGTCCCCTGGAAAAAAAAAACACTTACTTCCAGTATAGTGATAAACTCCCTTTAAAACCAACAAGGGAAAATAACACACATTCCCAAACACATGCAAGCTCAATTAAAGCTTTGATTCAAGGAAAGGGGCAGCCTAGAAGCCCCAGGCATAAACTGGTCCTTCTGCCTCTGTCAAAACTCAACCCTGCCTGCGTATGTTATCCGCGGTCATTTGGCAAAATGTAAGCGTCCAAAGCACTTCACCCCCGTCACAACAACTTCTTAGAAGAATCTAAGACGATGCTTCATGTAGATCCGCCACAAAGACCACGGACATATGCTGCCTTCCCAAAAGAAACATAGGTGGGCTCGTGCACTGTGAGTGCACTCTCTCCCTCTCGCTCTCTCCTCATGTTGTCCGCTCAGTCCGCTCATGCTGGGCCCCTGACTCTCATTCTCCAGTCCGTCTACTCTCCTGCGAGCGCCCGTTCCGCATAGCAACTGCTAGAAGTGTCAAACAAGGGTCCAGCTTCCAGACTCTTGACTCGAACAGCCCTGCACCCACGACAAACAGGCCTTGAAAATTCTGAAGCTACCTTAGATCTGGTGACGCCATACAGCAGACAAAGCCGCTTATCAAACAAAGTATCAAACAAGAATATTTACCGCAGACAATTGGCACATGGGCAACGTATCAAACAAATGTCCAGCGCCGTCAAGCGCCGTGAAGCGCTTCACTTCGGCTCCTGGGGGCTGCTTCCTCTGCACCGTCCTGCGGAACGCCCACCAGGTGCCACCCGAGAAGTCGGGCGCGGTGCTGGATGAAAATTGCTTCGATGGCTTCCAGAGATCTCAGCTTGTTGAGACCTGTGGATATTCAAAAAAATGAACTGGAGTGTCCGATTTTGTGGTGCGTCCTTGTTTGGTGCCTGCGACAATTGTTTGCAATGGCCCAATATGGTGGGTCCCGTATCACTCCATACATTCGCTTCACCACAACAGTGGTTGACATCGTTTGCGCTTTCCTTTTGCGTCCCACATTTGGTATCATTGCTGTTTGTGGTTACATCCGGCCATGATCTGGGTTTTGAGCACGGGGTTCTTGGTAATTGAAGTTGCCAAGCCGTCAATTGCTTGGCAGAGTGAAAGCCGTGTTGCGTCACTGCAGGTATGTTGCAGTTACGCCTTGCAGCACTTTGATTCCATCACATCCCCTTTTGCACACACGAGCGTGTGGCTTGTCGGTGCAATTCTTTTACGTGGAAGGATGTGCCGTTTGTCGGTTCATCCGACAGACTAAGGGTAACCGCCCGAAAAACAGGTTTTCCCGCCACTCTTCGGTGTAGTTTTTGGGATCACAGCAAATCCCAGCACGAGTTGTTCGCATGGTAGCACGCAACGACTAGGAGTTGTGCACTTGTTGAACTCGCCGGTTCATCCGGCGAGAATGGAGAAGAGTAATGCATCGTTGCATACACCAGCCTTTGCGTGAACATTTGTCCAGACTGTCGGTTCATCCGACTGGAATTTTGAAAAAAAAATACGCAATTCATAGATGCGGACAAAGCATGTCCACACTGAAATACGCAAGCAGACGGCATGTCTGAGGTTTGCTCAAGGCAACCGGGCAAAGCCTGCTCTGTGTGTCCCACTCGTTAACGTTGCATGACCCCGGGCTGTCAATTCGCTCGACACCGTGTTTGCTTTGCATTCCGCATATTCGCATGGGTTTGCACCTTGCTTCACTTGCATTGATACAGCGACCAACATGTGCCGCACTGCACTCCGCAGCTTGCACTTTTGCCTTGGTTCACATTATGCATGGCTCGCATTGCCGCGACCGACCCGTGTCGCACTGAATTCAACTCTGTGGCGTGTCCTTGCTGACACGCTCGCCGCCGTTGGCTGGCGTGACAGGATGGCATGGGCTTTGTTGGTGGCGCCCATGCCAGTTCAAACATTACACGCGGTAAGTACATATGGGACTGTGGCGCAGTTCAGATCATCCATGCACAAGCGGCTTGCAACATGTGGTCTGTGTCTGTGGTTCTGAGGCTGTGAGGCGCTGAAGCCATGGATTTGTGACACCAATTCGGCTGAGGTTGCCTCTGGCTGGAGTGCCTCCCACTTGCTTTCAACCAAGGATTCATGTAAGGGATTTCAACCTGCAAATCCTACCTGTTCTTGGCAGGTTTGCCTGAAGGGAAGATCCAGCAGTCCCTTTTTGGTCCCCTGTTCGCATTACAAGGTATCAGGGTGTCCCGCTTTGCTGACCCGAGTTGACTCGAGTCTGGCGAAACAAGTGTCGACTTGTCGGCCTTCGACTAAACTTGCCACGAAAAAACTTCGAGTCTAATGTTTAGCTCTTTCCCAAAAAATCAAATCGGCAAGCTTCCATCTGAGTGGATTTGACCTCTCAATCCATTTGATCCACAAAACTACCTCCCCACGTTCCAATCTGAGTTGACCCAGACCGTCAAATCTCTCGATCTCCGCGTCTCGTTAAATGGCGCCTTCTGGTTTTCTGGGCTGGACCTTCCATTCCGCTTCAAGCCTCGGGTTCTCCGAAGCGGCGAGGCCCGCCCAGGAAAACGACCAGCCCAGAGGAGCTTCGGTTTGGAAGCCCGCTGGGGGGGGGGGGTTAGGGTTTAGGGTTTAGGGTTCAACAAAGGCATTTAATTGTAGAAAAACCCTTGGATGGAACATCAGTTGGGTGGGCGTGAAATTGCGCACCAATCCCTGTCGAGGCGGCTCCTCCTCTTAAAACTCGCGACGCATCTTTAGGGAATACTCGCATTGCGCGCCTTGGATGGCCTCCCGCGCTCCACAAAGGATGCAAATCAGCCACGGTGAAAATTGCTTGTTTCCTCAAGAGGACATCACAAGATTAGTGAGTCCCCTGTTGTTTATCTGTAAATAATTAGTGAGTTCCCCCATGTCCTCCGTATGGACCATCTGATGACTCCTGCTAGGTTGACCAGGCTGGTGTCCCCTATTGTGGAGACGTTGCACCCGGAATAGGCCGGTCTATGTTTATGCATGCCGGCATCAGGAACCATCTGATTCTTCTGTGGCTTCCCAGCCCCAACAGCCCAACAGCTGAAAAACCTCTGCATTAGGAGGAAGCATCCGGTTGGAAGTGGTTGAAACCACCAAACATTCGGTAGCCAACCAAGTTGTGGTTCTGTGGGAACCAGGGCCCGGTTGCGTGAAAGCCTCAATGAAACAGGGAAGACACTGGGGGGCGAACCCCGAAGTGTCGCTATCACTTGCCCCGCGCAAAGGGTCCCCAAAGCGTGAGACCAAGCGAGCCATTCGCTTCCCGAAATCACTTTTTTTTGGGGGGGGAACCAATGGACCCCAATAGACCAACGGGTCTTTGATTCTGGAGGGAGGAGAGTGGCCACCTTGACCTGAGCTTCCGGATTCCCGGGCGCAAGGTGCTGAGCTTGGACCGCACCTTCTCCAGGCCCTCCATCTCCAACTTCTCAGCCTGCAGAATGGCCGGGGACAACTGGAGGTTCAGCCGACCAACCCGGCTATGTGGGGCTATGGGGAGGGGGGGGGGGATTCCCTACAGTTCAACCCCCATCAAAAAGAAAGGCAAGGACCCAAGTTGGATGATGACAATCCTCAGATAAACAGTCGACCCAGGGTATGCATCCTGGGCTTATCCATGGATAGCCCCTCCCCCCCATAGCCCTCCTAGGGGTCCATGATTAAACACCTCTGGCACCCTCAGGGAAACCATAAGGAGCTTGTCAAAATCACCATAGCCTAGGCTAACAATCCTTTCATCTGAGAAAGGTGGGGCCCTTTGCCTTCTGAAAGCGAAAAAAGGCACTGAACAAATCCGACGATTGGCGCACAACAACATATTCTCGAACCAGTCATGACCATGCTCAATTGAGCCCAACTGGGAAATAAACCCATCATGAAATGCGGGCCATCCCAACACTTATGTGTTCTTTCTGGGTTCCTGAAGAACAATAGAGGTCCTGAACAAGGACCTACCCATTGGCGGTCTTGGTACCACACACGTAGTTTATAGCCCTTACAAATCGTGTTCTGTTACAAAAGGGGCGGAACGGCGAACCCCACCGGCGCCAAACACATTCTAGGATGCATTCCACATACTCATTGAACCACACTATCATCACCATGCCTCTTCAAAACCAACTGACGAACAAACAAACCAAAAACAAGCAATGTGTATACTACATAATATGTTGTAAAAGACCGTCTTTAGCAAACGGAAGGAACCCCCCGGGACGCAGATTAGTTTTTTCTAAAACTTTAGGCAATGCTTTGCAGCTTGTGCTGCGTTAGCTGCACCTCACCCTGCTACAACTGTGCTCTTAGCTGATGGCAGGGCTTGCTCGAATGTGTAAGGTTTTTCAACAAGCGGGAAACTCCTGGACGCCTTGGGAAGACCCAGGGAACTGGGATGCGGACAAACCCATGGGAAACCAGGTTGACAAATCCGGTCTGGGAAAGCCCTGCGAACCCATACCAAACAAGTCCTGGGCAGGTATCAGGAATAGCCCCTGCAGGCCAAGCTCAGTGAGCTGAAAGCTAGACGAACGGGCTGTTGGGAAAATGGATTTGGAGGCCGTGTTGAGCTCCTTTTCGGGTCGTTTCTTTTCCACTCTTCCCATTCTTTGCAATTCTCCCATGGGACCAACCCGAAAAAAAGAAGAAACAAACACAACAAAAAAACATCGCATCCTCGGGCCACCAGCAGCCGTCGATGAGAACCCATGGGGTGACCACCACCCTTCGCCTTCAAGAGGCACAGCTCCAGGCTCTCCGCATCGTAGCGCCGCATATTCGCCGAGAGCTCCACTGCGCAGCGCCCCACCTGGAAGACAGGCACCAAATGCATTCGGTGGGTCCTTGTTAGACAGATTTCTAGGGGACATCTTTCCAGCAGATCTCTAGGGGACATCTTAGTAAACCATCAGAACCCAGGGGAAACAGACCCGGTTTTTGAAAGGAAGGATGGTTGAAAAGAATGGAAAAGGAATAAACCCCTAGAACATATGTGAAATTTGGGTATTGGCCCCGGCCCCCTTGATTAAAATTTACATTTAAAAACGGACCTGAAAGGGCTTTGATGCACTTTCATTTGCTGCAATCCCCAAGTACCACGTAGGTAACCAGCCACTTTCGTGTAGGCTTGAAGGGTGGTTCCCTTAGTTGCTGATACAGCAATACAAATACCCGGACTCTCTCTTAGCGGGCCCATCGTTGATTTTTGTATTCAATCATCTGGAGAACCTATCGTAATCGATGTCAATATTGGCAGTTGATCAATTGGGCGTTGCCCAAAAATGCGAAAACATCCTCACCAAAAGAGCCCCGCCATTCTTTCTTTGGGTGGGTGCCCCACTGTTAGGACCCACCCGACATGGGTATTCTAACTATAGTTGCTTTGCCATCCTTTTTACAAGATGGTACAGGGGGGTCAACTGGGGTTTGGGCGCCCTCTCCCGCTCTCCTCCCCGCCCCCGAAAAAACGAGTCCGCAACTTTCGAGACATTGGAATCCGCGGGGTTTCGTCTCAACTTCCTGGAGATTCTCATTGGAGATTATCACCAAGGGATCCGGATCTCTCCCACAAACAGAACCACTGACTCGCTGTACTGGACAAATTCGGTTTGCACCACTTGGGATGGATGAACCCAAGTATGAATAAAGCACCATTCCCGGCTTGTGCGAAGCGGATTTTGCCCCTCCGCATCCACAGCATCAACTGGTGAAAGTGTGTTGTCCCTCAATCTAAACCGCTTGGCGATTTTGCATGAGCCACCTACCAACTGGTGCAAGTTCTTCAATGGTCTTCCGGATCAACCCCAAGCTACGGGCGGGGGGGGGAAAAACAAAAAAAACAGAGTGCGCCTCCAACGCGCGCTGCACTTCTTCTGCGAGCCTTCCCTGGCCTTGGCGTTTGCGCTTCCGGAGGTCTAGGTATTTGGTAGGAAATGGAAGCGCCTCTCTGGAACATTGGCTGAAACCTCGGAAGTGGCCATCGGATCCCCCCACGACAAGCCACCTATGACAAGCAACGTGGCACGGTCAAACCCCATGCCACAGTGAGGCTCTGAGGCTCTGAGGCTCTGAGGCGCTGACACTCCGCAGTGGCCTCCTGATGTCTCAACTCCAACCTAGGTGTTGCAAAGAGCCAACCGCAAACGAAACCAATTAACAGAAAAAAAAGAAAAGAAAGAAAGAAAAAACAACGAACAAATACCGAGCGTGACTGACTGCAAAAAAGGATCGGTTTAATGCATTGCGCTAATTTGAGATTCCCTTTCACCGAAACTAGCAGACCATACCGTCTGCATTTACACCAATTCCGAAGCCAGTCAGCGACTTCACCATGGTGAGCTCATTTTACCTCCAGGAGTGCTCGCTTTAAAAATAGGCAGCTGCCATCCGCCCAGGCAACGCCACATCGCCAGGCTGACGAGCTAAACAAATGTTCCATGAGCCTCAACTGGAGATCGGACGGACTCGAGTACGCTAGCATTCCCCTCTGCAGCTTGGGGGGTCCAAAAGGAGAGCCTTGTACATATGAGCTCCTCAAATTGGGCTCCATGTGCATTGCAGGGGAGAATCTATTTGAAACATGTTGCGGGTACAACATGCAAGCAGCCGTATTGGCATCATAGGGCCCAATTCTGGGCATGTTGTTCTTTGGCACCTCGCGGCCAAGCTCCCACCTGCTGCGGATTGCGGATTGCGCAATCCGCGCGAGGATGCGCGAGGCAAGTCCGTGGGGCCAAGTGCGATCCCTTCACTCAGCTGCCCCGTGATTTTTCCCATGCGAAAACAAAGGGCACCCTTCTTATTTGTTGGTTGAGTTTAAAGGAACCTTCCCCCCCCAAAAAAAAAACTAGACCACGGTTGGCCCGAAAGCAGAACATCGCAAGCGAGGTCGGCCCAACGCTGCAGGATGCGTTCTTTTTCCCTACACTTCGTGAAGCAAGCGCGAGGCAGCACCAGGCAAGGTGCTCTGCGCAAACTGGTCAGTGCAAGTTGGTCTGCGCAAGTTGCTCTACGCAAGTTGCGCTGTGCAAGTTGCTCTGCGCAAGTTGCTCCGCGCAAGTTGCTCCGGCAAGTTGGTCCCTGCAAGTTGCTCTGTGCAAATTGCGCTCTGCTGCTCTGTGCAAGTTGCTCTGTGCAAGTTGCTCTGCGTAAGTTGCTCTGCGCAAGTTGCTCTAGGCAAGGCGCTCTGCGCAAACTGGTCGGTGCAAGTTGGTCTGCGCAAGTTGCTCTGTGCAACTTGCTCTGCGCAAGTTGCTCTGCGCAAGTTGCTGTAAAATGCAAGTTGCATCTTGCGACGCCCGCCCGCGGACCAGGGAGGAATCGAACCCGCGACCCGCCGGTTCCGGGAGCAGGCGCGCGAACCACGAGACAACTCCCGAGGACCAGTTCGAACAACAAAAGTCGCAAAAAACCTCGAGTTTTTGCACCTCGACCACGCCGATCCCCGCAGAGGGTTGCGCGAGCACCGCAGAAATCGCAAAAAACCATGGGTTTTTGCACCTCGACCACGCCGATCCCCGCAGAGGGTCGCGCGAGCAGGCAGAAATCGCAAAAAACCATGGGTTTTTGCACCTCGACCACGCCGATCCCCGCAGAGGGTCGCGCGAGCAGGATAGAAATCGCAAAAAACCATGGGTTTTTGCACCTCGACCACGCCGATCCCCGCAGAGGGTCGCGCGAGCACCGCAGAAATCGCAAAAAACCATGGGTTTTTGCACCTCGACCACGCCGATCCCCGCAGAGGGTCGCGCGAGCAGCGCAGAAATCGCAAAAAACCATGGGTTTTTGCACCTCGACCACGCCGATCCCCGCAGAGGGTCGCGCGAGCAGGTTAGAAATCGCAAAAAACCATGGGTTTTTGCACCTCGACCACGCCGATCCCCGCAGAGGGTCGCGCGAGCAGGTTAGAAATCGCAAAAAACCATGGGTTTTTGCACCTCGACCACGCCGATCCCCGCAGAGGGTCGCGCGAGCAGGTTAGAAATCGCAAAAAACCATGGGTTTTTGCACCTCGACCACGCCGATCCCCGCAGAGGGTCGATTTTCGTGTAGTGTCGTCGGCACACTTAACCCCGCCTTGCCTTGGAGTCACTCCTTGCTTGCAAGGAGTCATTGCAAGGAGTGCATTGCAAGGAGTCATTGCAAGGAGTCATTGCAAGGAGTCATTGCAAGGAGTCATTTGGCAAGGAGTCATTGCAAGGAGTCATTGCAAGGAGTCATTGCAAGGAGTCATTGCAAGGAGTCATTGCAAGGAGTCATTGCAAGGAGTCATGAGAGCCATTGCAAGTTGCAAGGAGCCAAGTGCATGGAGTCAAGTGCAAGTCGCAAGTGCACGGAGTTAAGTGCAAGTTGCAAGTGCAAGGGGCCAAGTGCAAGGAGCCAAGTGCAAGGAGCCAAGTGCATGGAGTCAAGTGCAAGTTGCAAGTGCATGGAGTCAAGTGCAAGTTGCAAGTGCAAGGAGTCAAGTGCAAGTTGCAAGTGCAAGGAGTCAAGTGCAAGTTGCAATCCTTGCCATGACTCCTTGCAATGACTCCTTGCAATGACTCCTTGCAATGACTCCTTGCAATGACTCCTTGCTCCTTGCAATGACTCCTTGCATGACTTTCATGATGATGATTCCTTGCAATGACACCTTGTAATGACTCTCATGAGAACAACTCAAGTGAACCCAGCGGAAGAACCCTTCGCCATGCTTTCGGGAAAACACAACAACAAAGGGAACCACTGGACAACAGAGTCCATCGGCCTTGATAAAACGGCAACTGGTCGATAAAAAACGGCAATCGGCTTTGATACGACGGCCATCGGCCATCGGCCTTGACTAAATGGCCACGCCAGCTTGCCGGAACCTGAGCCCTGACCTCAAACCCCGTCACAGCGTTGGAGTCTGAACCTTTGCAGCTAGAACCGCAAGCAAGTGGGCCCTGAAGCCTGAACCCCCCGCAAGAACCTAGAACCCAACAAACAAACCCTGACCCCTCAACTCAAGCCCAGAGCCCTGAACGCCTGAACCTCGAACCCCAAACCTTGATTGAACCCTCGAAGCCTGACCCCTAAACCCCAAACCTTAGAGCTGCGGCGCCAGGTCGCAGCTCAAACCCCGGACAAACCTTGCCCGGCGCGCCATTGTCCCTCTCCCCCTCTCTCTCCGCACTCGCCCGCCGCCCTAACCCCTTTTTGTTCCGCCGATCGTCTGTCACAAGCGCCTCGCGCTGCCCGGCCGGCACTTTGGGCACAACCTCTGGCGCTTGTCGCTCTGCCCGCGCGGCTCGCTCCAAACAGTGCCGCATTTGCGGCACGTGCTCTTGCCCTTGGCGCAAGATCCGCGCGAAGCGCAATTCAAGCATCGCTGGCTTGGGGCGCTCGCTTCCGCCTTTGCCGCGCCCTGCGGAGGAAAGAAAGTTTCGCAAGTCCGGCAGGCAAACCAGCCAGCGCGCTCAGGCCTGCGGCGCTTCTTCGCTTCTGCCCCGCAAGCTGCGCAGACAGCCGCCCACGGCATGGTCGCCGCAGCGCTGTTGAACTCGGAAATCGGCTTTTCGGCAAGGCAAACCGAGCACTCCAAAGCGCAAACTTCCTTCAAACACTTCAGGCAGCGGCGCGCGGCCTCAGAGTTGCCTTGCTGGAGCTGGGCCCGCGGGAAAGCGTCCTCCAGCTTCCGGAATTTACACCCGCGGCAGTCCAAGCGCGCCAGGCCAGACGGCAGCTTCCGCTTCAGCGTCTTCTGGCCGCCCTTGCTTGGGCCGCAGGCGAGGCAAATGGCCGAGCGGTTGGCTCGGACTCGCTCCCACTGCCGGTCGGAGAAGTAGTCCAGCGTCTTCACATCTTTGCATTTCTCGCAGGCCGCAGAGGGCGCCTTCGCCTCCCTGAAGGCTTCCCAGTCCACCTCCTCCCCCCGCAGTTGTTTCAGCAGGAGCGCCGGACCCTCCGGCGCGCCGCGGGTGTAGAGCCAGCGCTCGAAGGGCCTGCCGCAAACGCTTCGCTTTTCTTTCCCCCGCGCCCCCCTTCCCTCTTTCCCGCGCGCGCGCCTCAAGATCAAGACGTCCTCCCTGGAGCGGACCCTGCTCGCAGCCACGGTCCCAAAGGTCACGTCGGTCCGCTTGTCGACGTTGAAGTCCACTAGCGCCGCAGGCAGCGTCTTGCCCTGGCTGCCGTGGGCCGTGATCGCGTAGGCCGGGGCCAGCGGCAGCTGCGTCCGTGCAATCTTGAGCACCGGCTTCTTGCGCTTGGCATCCAGCTTCCAGACCTTGCGGGCGGGGTAGACCGGGTAGAGGCCGGGCTCCGGCGCTCCGTCGAGCTGCCAGGTTGCCCCATCAAACTTCACATAGACGCAGGTCGGCCGCAGGTCGTTCTCCTTCCAGACCCAGGAGTGGACGCGGCCGGCGCTGCCTCGGAGGAGGAGCTTGTCCTCGGAGCGATCGAGGTGGTCGGCCAAGACCACGCGCATCCCGACGGCTAGCGGCAGCATGCCGGAGAGGTTCTCGGTGTCCCGGTCGTGATACTGGAGCCACCGGATCCGCGCGGCCTTGTCGCACTCCTGTGCGCGCAGGGAAGCTCCCCTCGCGCCCTGACCTTTTTCTCCCGCTCCCCCCCGCACCTGCGTCTGCAGAACCTCGGCGGACGGCGCGTCCAGGGCCACAGACCAGCGGAGCGGCGACTCGGCCGCGCGGCTGTAGTCCTCGGCGCGGTCCTTGTTGATCTGGTACTTGGCGTCGTTGTTGGCAACAATGGCCGCCGCCCACCGGAACTTCTCTTCTCCCAAGCGCGGGTCGCCCGGCCCCGCAATGACCCGGCGCCGGGACTCGCGCTCTGCCGCGGTCAGCCGGCAACCTTCGACGGGCTTGCCGTGGAGATAGCGCCAGTTCTCCTCCGACAGCTCGCCGCACCGCAGCTCGTCCACGACCTCGTTCCACCAGTTGTCCTTGCAGCGCTCGCGCTCCTCCAGCTCCGTCACGCCCTGCAAGGCGCCGCCCCACACCAAGTTTCTGCCGTAGTCCGCCAAGAGGTCCGGCTCGGCGTCGGCGGCCGCGCTCAGCCGCGGCGGCCGCCGGCTGCTGGGCACGTCCGCAAGGTAGCCTTCGCCAACACAGCTTGGCCGGCAGGTGCAGGCGCCCCGGCCGCGCGCGCTGGGCAAGTCGGCCGCCGAGGGGCCGAACGACCGGCTGCAGGCCGACCTCATCGACTTCAGCCAGAACACCCGGGGGAAGACGAGGTACGGCCTGGTGGTGGCCTTTTAGGGGAAATAGATGACCGTGGTAGATGATTAAACCACCAGGTAAACCAGGGCCATCAACTTTTCTACCAAAACAACCAAACAGGCCATCTATGCAAAGAAGAAGCACGAAAAAGGCTGGTCAAACGAGTCCACCATTGGCTTTTCCAAGTGGAACCGTCGATCTCTGGGCTCCCCAGCTGATGCAGGTGTCCCGGCTCGATCGCCTAACTCGCGAGCTTGGGGTCGTTTGGTGGGTGTCCCTCAAACCAAAACGGAAACGACAGTTGAAGTGGTTTCATCCTCCTGCATTTCAAAGGCTGACCCACAGTTGTTCCTTGCGGTCTGCAATTGAAACATCCAACTCTTTGGGAAGACCCAACAAATGATCCCCAAAAAGTTTAAGCTTCATGGCCCAAAGCAACAAACAACTGCTCAAGTCCGCAAAAGCACTTGCAAGGTCAGTGAAAAACCCGGCAGCTCTTGAAAAGCAACAAGAGGCCGACGGCCTCCCAGCTCCTCTGCTGCCACTCCTGCAGCACGGTCTCCAGGGCCGCATCCGCCTGCGCGCCTGCCAGGCCTCCGATGCCGGAAGCCACAAACACTGCGGTCGCTGCGAGAGATGGCAATGAGACATGGAGTCTGACCCCCAAAACAACCATCCAAGCGATTTGGCTCCTTGGAACCCCCCGATTTAGACCAACCCCCGGAAAAATCTGAGAGGGTGCGCTTCACAACAGCTGTCCATACCACAGAATTTGCTCCTACCACGACCAGAAAAAACAAGCTTGTGTCACAATCTGAGCGACATCCGGGACCCACGAACTCCAACTTCCAACCCCAACATCTCATATCACCGCCTGCTTCAAACCTTGAAAGCGTTGCTGTCAAACTCAACCCCGCGGCAACTTCCAAACATGAAAAGAAATACAGCTACGCAAACGCTGAACACTGAACATGGCTACAAACCGAGCCCGAAAAGAAAAGTCGCCACTCTAGATGTCAAACACTACCCCAAAGCTACGCTAAAAGAAGACCGAACACCACGTCAACCATTCCCTACATCACTTCCCCGCGTTTTCCCGTGGGTAATGAGCGCCGAAAAAACGGGCGACTCCTCCACGTCTCTGAGAGCCCGACCCAGGTAGCCATCATCCACAGCCGTTTGGATGCCAGCGAGCAACTCGAGGCTGACGGGTTCTGGGGCAGCGTCCGTCAGCCACGAGTCTAATACAAAATCATTTGGCTGTGGGTCAAAACAAACCCACCAGGGGACCACAGGTTTTACAGTAGTCTTTGGTTCCATTTATCAGGGTTCCATTTTGGGTACGCATTTTTGACCCACAGCCACTTGCAGCCGCACCGATTTCCTGTTCAGTTCAGCCTTGATATCGGAAGGGCAGAAAGGCTACTACACAAAACCAGACAGTGTACAGTTATATATGCCGGATTCCCGGATTTATACATAAAAGAGACGTGCTATAGCATAACATATGATATATGTCAATGAGAATGTCTAAACAAATATCTCCAGAATGTGTACGTCTATCACATAGATGCACCATTCCGAAGCAGCTGGGGGCGAGGCCTTCCATGTGCCACTGTGCCTGGAAAAAACGTGTCCCGTTGCCCGCGCGGAGGTCGGTCGATCGCCCGGACTCGTTTCGAATTCCCTGGTCCTTTGCAGCCCTCTTTTAGAGGGCCCCAGGAAACGGAAGCGCCCTCGACGAAAAAACTTTTTTTCTTTCTGAGGGCGAGCCATTTATCCTGGGAAGCCGCGCGAAAAGGGAGAGGGCTGAACAACTGCAAAATCGGGACTCTGCGGTGGACATCATTCATAGGGATGTGCTCCACTTGTGCGAGGGCATGGCAAACCTGATTTCTCCTTGGGCTAAAGCAGCAGTTGGGGTCGTCTCCGAATGAATATAAAAAGCCGACCCCCCCCCATATGGCGGTGTCCCTTCGCTTTCCCATTAAGCCAACCACAACAAGGGTACAAGAAGCACAAGCACACACGCAAATAGCCGACCTTCTCAAGTGTGGAATTCCAAGCATTGATCGTGTAATAACATGTTATCTACTCAAGCAGAGCCGTTAGCTTCGGCTAGTCCAAAAGGACAAGTGGGCCCTTTTGGTGTTGACTGCCCCCAGAATCACCCAAACACCTTGGCACGCTATATAGTGAGGACAGGCTCTAACAAGAAACACTTCCACCTAACCTTGGTATCCAACCAAACCACTTGCTGCAAACCGCATTGACATTGTTTTGGGCAATCACTAGCTCATCTCTCAGAATCAAGGACTCTTGGTTGGCTCCAGCGCTTGCCTCTTGCAAAAGGAGGCTAAGATCCCCCAGCTTTTCGCACAAGAGACCCGACTCGACGTATGAGCGACGGACAAAACTCCTGGTACTGGAAAAGGACATCGGCCATCCCCTGTCGGTTATCAGTGTTTTGCCCTGCGCGTGATCCGCAAGCTCACGCTAACATGGAAAAGAAAGCGGTGGAAAGGCCAGAGGTGGGGAAACAAGGAAGAAGAAGGAGAAGGAGAATAAGAAGTGTAGTACAAGTGTAGCACACGAAGTACATTTCCGCAGCTCCAGCTCGAAAATCGCAACTTTGTAGGACGCGAAGTACACTTCCACAGCTCCAGCTCGAAAATCCCAACTTTGTAGTACGCGAACTGCACTTCCGCCGCTCCAGCTCGAAAATCCCAAGTTTGTAGTACAAGTGCACTACACGAAGTACACTTCCGTAGCTCCAGCTCGAAAATCAAACTTCATAGTACAAGTGTAGTATACGAAGTACACTTCCGCAGCTGCAGCTGCAGCTGTAGTAGTACACTTCAGACTTCCGCAACTCCAGCGTGTTCACGTGCCTCATGCGCTGCTTCAGGCCAGTTTCAGCCAAAGGCTGGTACAAATGCACGCTTGCGCGCTTGGAACAGCACACTAGTTCGCGAAACAAAGATGCTTTTCATGGCCAATGGGCGAGTGTTGACATTCAACAGGTCAGGGTGTCGGTTGGGGTATCGGTTGGGGTATCGGTTGGGTATCGGTTGGGGTATCGGTTGGACCGTGGTGTCTTTTGGTGGAAAAATGGACTTGGTAGCAAACGTGTGCCAAGTATTTCCCCTCCAAAGATGTAAGGTATCATGCTTAGGGGGTATCGGTTTTTGGGGCGTCCCCTATCGGTTATGCATGTTTTGCAAAAACCGAAGTCCAGTGTTGCTTTAAGTCCATTGTCGGCAGTTCTGTCGGGCACTCATATGCCAAAGGACATGGGCAATTCTCGGTTGCTTTCTGATCCCCTGCTAAAGAAAGGTGTTTAACCTTTAGTGGTTTAATATGGAAAACCCATTGGTTGGCAAAAAGTTAAGGTCCTGACATCCCTTGGCAACATGCACCAAAGAAGCCAGAGACACCCCTGAAATTCCGCTCGTGCCCCAATTTGTGTCCGGTGAGATGCCTGCTCGATGGATTTCCGCAGCTCAGTGCAAGCTCTCCGCCCACGGCTGAGACTTGCCTGAAGGCCGCTCCAGATGGGATCGGGGAGGACCGGCCTCCAAAAAATATAAAGCCATGGGTCAAAACCCCCAGCGAACATCGCAATCCCCAAATGAACTCAGGGTGGTGAATTCACCTTCCCCATGGGAGCCCAAAACGGTTTTGACCCACAAGCGGAAACTGAACCTCCGCGCATCCCCAAATTGCCCCCTAGGTTTTCCAAGCCATGCAAAGCGGGCCCCGGGCCTTTGGAGTTTTTTTGAGGCAAAGGAAGGGTCGTAGGAAGGAGTTGGGATCCCAAACGTTTTGGAATGACTTGCTCTGTCCTTAGCGTCCTAGTGGGTTTCTACCTTTTTTCATTTGTTGCACGTGTCCTCAGTTCTGGTTGCTTACCCATCGCCTGTTTTCCCGTGTCCAAGGGTGCCGAGCCTGTGGCCCATAGACTTTGAATGGCCATGGATCGGCTTACATGGTCAACTACTGCCGCCGCTCCTCCTCCTCCTCCTGCTCCTGTCTTCCCCCAGCTTCTCCTACCCCCTGCGACAGACACCACAACGTCTTAGTACAGTAGTAGTACTACTAGTAGTAGTGGTAGTAGCAGCAGCAGCAGCAGTAGTGCTGGATATCCAACGAACCCGCGATCGAGGGTAAGACCGGCGAGCCGGTCTGACCTACGATGGCAGCCCATAAAGTTCCGATCTGCCGCCTTGAGAGAGTCAAAACCCCCCTCAGTGGGCTTCCGTTTGCCTTCCCCTAAAACCATCCAAATACGCAGCCCAGATTCTGAGAAACACCGATCTCCGCCACACAAGCGCTTCCAGACCACTCAATCCTGCAAGCCAGTCGGCGGCCAGGCCTGCAGCATCTGCTCCTCCACAGGTGTGGTGTCTAGCACAGCGCCTGGGCTGCTCGCCAGCGAAGTTGCCGGAGGCACGAAAACAGAACGGCCCCAAAGTTGCTACCCAAACCTGCAGTACCCACGGAGACTGAGGCTTGAGGTAGAAACACTTGGAGTAGCTTTCTTGACTGCTATTGGGTTAGATCTTTAGACTTTAACTTTGCGGGAAATCAAGGGTTTTCCACTAAACCCGCAAAAAGTTAAGAGCTACCCAATGTGCACAACATGGGCCACGTTTGGAGGGTTACCAAAACTCTCCAAGAAATCTGGAAAACATTGACCGTTGGTAAGAACTCGCACAGAAACAGGATGGCTGCGAGATCTTGAGACGTGCAAGTCTGTCTACGATGCCATATGCGGTTTGGCCAGGAAGAATCTGAGCTGAAATCGTTGCGCAGAAACCACCCCGAAAGACAGATGTAACCAAACACCGCTTGGCAAAGCATACCGGTATGTAAACGAGCAGATTTAGAAGCGTGGATGGATTTTACATTTTACTCCCCTTGCGTGCAGGAACGCTCTCAATGCTGCGCTGTGCCGTCGGCCAGGAGCGAATGAAATAATCCCACATTGGCCATGGGGTTTCTCCAAATCGTGGTTGCCTGAAATGGTTGGTTACCTTTGAATACGTCCTTGAAAAACCAAAAGGGTGTCCGAATCCCACTTTGAGAAACATTATTTTGGCTGCAAAGGGGATAAAGGGGGTTTCCCTTGCTGGTGTGTAAAGAGGACACACCGAGGGCGCGCGCATGATTATCCCTAAAGCTGCACCCTGCCGGGTTCCACCGAAGAAGATCCTGGGCTGGGTGCGGATGTAGTCCATGGCGTCGTGGGCTTCGCAGCAGTTCTCCAACCAGCGGCGCCACTGGTCGTTCGGCTCCAGCCTGGCGTGAAGCAGTCCAAGCTTTGCTTGTGCTCGTCAGAGTTGGGAGTGAAGCTAGAAATTCCCTTAAAGGAAACCACAGATGGTGAATACAGGGGTCAGTTCCTCATTCCCTCCAAAAAACCAGCAAGCTTACCAGAATGTTCAACCCACTTGTAAGCAACCATGCGGAAACTGGGGTTAGCCAGCAGTCGGGCAACCTAAGCCTCCGCCAAAGTTGGTGGTTTGGAAGTGATCGGGGGAAGTTTCCATTGACCCAAGAACCCGCGGCTACTCCCAAGCCACCAATCCAGACACTGAAAGGCCGCTTTTGGAGGAAAAACCAAAGTCACCTCTGTCAAATGGTTTTCCCCCCTCAAAAGTTGCATTAAGTCTTGGTTTTCTTCACTTAAAGCTGCCACTTGAGGTAAATCTGAGAGGCTTTTGGTCACACCGGGGGGAACGCAAAGGCACCACGGGACTATGAATGAACCCACGCGATTGCAACCGTACGCATCAACAACATTTAGGCAACCATCCAAGCAGACTCGGCTGGCACAAACAAACACACAACGAACACAAACACGGGTGAGGCTCAAGAATGAACCCTCTAGCCCGAAAACAGTACGAGCCTCCAGCTGTGCAGGGCTGCCAATCATTATGCGAAAACCAAAAAAAAGGCAGCCCCCCGAAAAAAGGTGGACCAACGAACCTACTCTGGTCAAAAAAGGGGGATCAAAAAAGGGAGACCAACCACCGGGGATCTTTTGAAGACAAACCAGCAGAACAGAACAACCAACTCTGCCACGACCATGGGGGATGCTGATCCCAAAAAAGGCCATGCCTGCAATTGTGCAGCATGTCCTTCAAGCTTTGAAGATTGACCTCCTCCAGATAATAGTCCTGCAGCCTCACTTTTTGCCCAGCCAGTTCGTTTTCACCCGGGGCATCATGAAGCTTCCCGGATACATCTGGGTGAGTTTACGAGAACAAGCTTCATCATGGGTGAGACCGCAAAACTTTCAAACCTCTGCAATTCGCATTGTCTCCGGGCCCCCAAAGGCCGCTAAAAGATTCTTAGGCTCCCTTAAGCTCCCCCACTTTCGCTTTAAGATTGTGGGTTAAACGATGGCTTTACCTTCCTTGCGACTGCGCTAGCCAATCCAGAATGCAGTCAGTCTCAAAGGGAAGCTTGGGGCAACTCTGACAACTCCAAGGAGCCTTAGCGAAGCGGGAGAAGCTCAGGGCCTGGGGAAGGGGAATAGGAATTGGACTCAGCTTGGGCTACAAAAACCAAAACCCAGGGTGGTTTCCGTTTGGCTGCTCTTCAGACTTGAAAATCCTCAACAGAAATACACACCCGTTGATTAAACATGGGTTGAAACCTATGGTTTGGCTCAAACGTGTTAGCTTAGCGTCTCCTTATATGTCATTCTAAGGATATAAGGATCTAAGTACTGAGACTGGGGTGTGGGGTCCTGATGAAAGCCGAGTTGCCTCATGCGCATGGCCTTGGCATATTCCAAGCTGACTTCAACTCCCTAAGCTCCCGGCTTGACACAAATGGTCTCTGCTTCCTGACCGCGAAAGAAGCCATGGTGCCCTTCTAGTTTGCAGCACCATCGGCGACACCGACACAAAGAAATCCGACCTGGAAACATATGATTTCTAGTTTGGA